CCTGCCTCTGCCTCCCGAGTGCTGGGATTAAAGGCGTGCACCACCAACGCCCGGCTCTTTTTATCATTTTTTATTTTAATTTTAAATAGCTTGTTTTACATGTCAATCCCAGTTCCCTCTCCCTCCCCTCCTCCTGCACTCCCTTCCCCCCCCCCACCCTATTGCCAAATCCTTCCACATAGGGGATATCTAGAGTCTGTCATTTCACTCTGGGTAGGGTCCAGGCGCTCCCCTAAGAATCTAGGCTGAGAGAGCAGGGGGATGATTTTTTGATGTGTTCTTGGATTTAGTTTGCCAGTATTTTATTGAGTATTTTTGCATCAATGCCATGAAGCAGATGGATCATTTTCTTTCTTAATTGCATCTTTGTGTGGTTTGAGTATCAGGATAAATGTAGCCTTGCAAAAAGAGTTAGCAATGTTCCTTCTATTTCTAGTGTGTGGAACAGTTTGACAAGTATTGGTACTAGCTCCTCTTAGAAATTCTGGTAGGATTCTGTGCTGCAACCACCTTTTCCTGGGCTTTTATTGGTTTGGAGTCTTTGGATGACCCTTTCTATTTCCTTCAGGGTTATAGATATATTTAAATTTGTATCTGGTCTTGATTTAATTTTGGTAAGTGGTACTGATCCACAAAATTGTCCATTTCTTTTACATTTTCCAATTTTGGGGAGTACAAGTTTTCAAAGTACAACCTAATGATTCTCTGGATTTCCTCAGTGTCTGTAGTTATTTCCCTCTTCTTTTTCTGATTTTATACATTGGATATTCTCTCTCTGCCTTTTGGCTAGTTTGGAAAAGGGTTTGTCTATCTTGTTGATTTTCTCGAAGAACCAACTCTTTGTGTCATTGATTCGTTGTATTGCTCTCTTTGATTCTATTTTATTGATTTCAGCTCTCAATTTGATTATTTTCTGTCATTTATTCCTTCTGAGTGAGTTTGCTTCTTTTTGCTCTAGAGCTTTCAGGTGTGTGGTTAAGTTGCTAATGTGGGATTTCTCCACATTCTTTTTGTAGGCAGGTAGTGTTATGAACTTTCCTCTTGGCACTGCTTTCACAGTGTCCCAGAAGTTTATGTTTGTTGTGTATTCATTTTCATTAAATTCTAGGAAGTCTTTAATTTCTATTTTATTTCTTCCTTGACCCAGTGGTGATTCAGTTGATCATTTTTCAATTCCCAAGTGTTTGTAGGCTTTCTGTAATTTGTGTGTGTGCTGAATTCTAACTTTAAGCCATGGTGATCTGGTAACATACCTGGGGGTCTGTTGAGGTATTTATCTGTTGAGGTTTGTTTTGTTACTGACTATGAGGTCAATTTTAGAGATGGTTCCATGAGGTGTTGAAAAGAAGACATAATCTTTTGTGTTTTGGTGAAATGTTCTATAGATATTGGTTAAATGGGTTTGAGTCATAGTATCTGTTAGTTTCCTTATTTCTCTATTAAATTTCTGTCTGGTAGACCTGTTGAGTGATGAGAGTGGGTTTTGAAGTCTTCTAGTCTTGGTGTGTGTGCTCTGATGTGTGATTTAAGCTTCAGTAACATTTGTTTTACAAATGTTGGTGCCCTTGTATTTGGGGCCTAGACATTCAGAATTGAGAATTCATCTTGATGAATTTTTCCTACAATGAATATGAAATGTCATTCTACATGCCTTTTGATTAATTTCAGTTTGAAGTCTATTTTGTTAGCTATTCAGATAGCTATAAGAGCTTGTTTCTTATGTCCATTTGACTGGAAAATCTTTTCCCAACCCTTTATTCTGTGGTAATATCTATTAGCCTGTGTCTTTTTATAGACAGATTGAGTTCATTGGTTGAGGGATATTAATGACCTGTGGTTGTTAATTCTTGATACTTATGGTTTTGTTGTTTGTGGTAGTATGTATATGTTTCCCTTCTTTGGGATTTGTTCCCATCACTTCTTCCAGTGGGTGTAGAAATATCCTCTTCTTCTCCTGGTGGGTAGGCAACCAGGGTTCCCTTTTGGTGGCTGCAAGCAAATCCAACACTCTCTGTCCTCTGCTCTCTGCCCTCTGTCCTGAGTGTGGGCAGGAGTGGACCTTCTCTTTCTGCAGGCTCCTGGCTGTTTGGTTGTCTGTCGGGGTGTGTCTACCTGGCTGTGGTCCTGTGAGTGGGAGGAATTCAGGTCTAAGATGGGGACCCAGAGCTTATCTCTGCCTTCTGCCCTGAGTGTGGGCAGGAAGTGGACCAGCTCTCCCTGCAGGCTCCGGGTGGCTTGTCACCAACACTCTGCACTAGAGTAGAACTGTCCGCATGATAAATGATTCTGAAAGAATCTCTGTCCTCCTATATCCACCCACACTCAGGGCAGAGGGCAGAGGTAAACTCTGGGTTCCCATCTTAGAGCTGAATTCCTCCTGCTCACCCTCTCTTGGATCCCCTGACCTGGGGAGTGCAGCCAGGTCAATTTGCCTCCAGACTCTCTGGCAGTGGGATTGTAAGCTGGCACTCACCTGCTTCATGTCGAAAATCCATATATGAGTGAGTACATACCATGTTTTTCTCTTTGTGATTGGGTTACCTCACTCAGGATGGTTTCTTCTAGTGCCATCCATTTGCCTGCAAATTTCAAGATTTCATTGTTTTTTCTGCTGAATAGTACTCCACTGTGTAAATGTACCACATTTTCTCTATCCACTCTTCAGTTGAGGGGCATCTAGGTTGCTTCCATGTTCTGGCTATTGCAAATAATACTGCTATGAACATAGTGGAACAGATGTCCTTGTTGTGTGAATGGGTATCTTTTGGGTATATACCTAAGAGTGGAATTGTTGGATCTTGTGGTAGACTCATTCCCATTTTCCTGAGGAATCTCCATACTGTCTCCAAAGTGCCTGTATGAGTTGGCACTCCCACCAGCAGTGGAGGAGTGTTCCCCTTTCTCCACATCCTCTCCAGTATAAACTGTCATTGGTGTTTTTAATTTTAGTCATTCTGACAGGAGTGAAATGATTATCTCAAATTTGTTTTGATTTGCATTTCCCTGATGGCTAAGGATGCTGAGCCGTTTTAGACTCCTCTATTGGGAATTTTCTATTTAGTCCTGTACCTCACTTTTTAATTGCATCCATTGGTGTTTTGGAGACTTGCTTCTTGAGCTCTTTGTAGATTTTGGAGATCAGCCCTCTGTCAGATGTGGGGTTAGTGAATATCTTTTCCCATTTTGTGGGCTGCCTTTTTGTCTTGTTGACTCTGTCCTTTGCCTTACAGAAGCTTCTCAGTTTCAGGAGGTCCCATTTATTAACTGTCAATCTCGGTGTCTGTGCTACTGGTGTTATGTTCAAGGAAGTGGTCTCCTGTACCAATTCGTTCAAGGGTGCCTCCCACTTTCTCTTCTAAGAGGTTCAGTGTGGCTGGATTTATGTTGATATCTTTGATCCATTTGGACTTAAGTTTTGTACATGGCAATAGAGATGGATCTATCTGGTCTTCTACATGCCAGCATCCAGTTATGTTAGCACCATTTGTTGAATCTGCTTTCTTTTTTTCCACTGTATAATTTTAGTTTCTGGGCTCTGTCCCTGTTTCAGTCCCCAAATAACACACGGAGACTATTAGTTATAATGCTGTCCTGTGTCACATGTTTGCCTCCTGGCTGGAATCAGTGAGCCTGGCTGCTTTGAACCTATCCAAAGCCCCATCATAAAAAGTGTAAGAAGAGTCTTGTTCTTCTTCCATAGGCAGCTGATGCTCTCCAAACATCCCTCCATTCAGTCTTCTCTGGTTATGGGGCCTGAACTCCTCTTGGAACCCCCCACCCATGCTGTGCCCCCTCTGTCTCTCTATTTTTGGCAGTATAACTCCAAATAAACTCCTTATTGCCCAGTTTTCCTCACAATGTGCCCTTGAACCAGCACCCTCATCCAAAACCTGGCACATTTCCTATATAAAAGCAAAACAACACAGAACAGGGTCTGACTCTGTAACTGAGCCTGGACTTATATACACAGCAACGTGGTATCATTATCATCACTATTCACTATAAATGGAAACTCAGAGGATTTAACATAGTTGATAAGAACTAAATAGTACCACAATACTCACCCTCTCAAAAAATAAATGTGAAACCTGTTTGATAGCTGTCCTCTGTCCCTAAGACTTGGAGTTGCAGTTAGCTACCACGTCAGCGCTGGGAATTGAACTTGGGATGAATGGAAGAGCAAGCAGTCAGTGCTATGAACTGATAAGCCATTTCTCTATCTAGGGTATTCTAATTCTTTTTTTTTTTTTTTTTTGGTTTTTTCGAGACAGGGTTTCCCTGTATTGTTTTCAAGGCTGTTGGTCCAGCCTGGCCTCGAACTCGCAGAGATGGGTATTCTAATTCTTAAAACACAGCATGGATCAGGTTCGTACCTGATGCAAACTCTGCCAGCATGTAATGCTAGAATCTCAAATCTACCTGCTGCCCTGTAACTGCCTTTCTATGGTTACAGATAGAGACATGATGGAGTTCTCCTCAAAATGAGTCCCCAGTGGCTGCTTTGCAGGTGCCACACTAACCTAAGTGAGTGTTTATGAAAGGGTGCCCTGTCCTGTGTCACATGTCTGCCTCATGTCTGGAATCAGAGAGCCTGGGTATTGTGAGGCTACTCCCATTCCCATCATAAAAGATGTTAAGAAGAGTATTGTTCTTTTACCATAGGGCAGCTGATGCTCTCTAGACATCCCTTCATTCAGTCTTCTATGGTACCAGGGCCTGAACCCTCCTGGAACCCCTAGTATAGTTGGCCCTTTATGTATCTCTGTCTATTTATGGCAATTTGACTCCAAATAAACTCCTTATTGCCCAGTTTCCCTCATTGTATGCTGGTTAACCAACACCCTCATTCAAATCCTGGTACATTTCCTCTGTAAAAGCAAAATAACACAGAGCAGGGTCTGACCCTGTAACTGAGCCTGGAGTCAGATGCACAGCAACCTCCTGTCTTTGCCTCCTGAGTGCTGGGATCCCATCCAAAGCACCATGCCAGGCTCTGGTACTCAATCTCAACAATCCTTTATTACAGTCTCAGTGAGAATATGACAAAACTGACACCATGGTGGATACCATTTACATGCATAAGTTCCTAGAAACATTCTATTGTTTACATTTCACAACACACCACAAAGTTTACTGGTATCATTGTCATCACTATCATTCATTGTAAAATGGAAAGCCACAGGATTTAACATATTTGATAAGAAACAAGTAGAGCTGCCTTCTTCTATCATGTGGTTTAAATGACTGAACTCAAGTCCCTGGGCTTAGAGGAAAATGCTTTTTCCTTCAGAGCTTTCTAATAGATTTCAACTTCATTTTCTTGTACAGACCTACAGTATGTATGCACTCTTCACAGTAAAAGTGTAAAAAACAACCCTGCCCCCCCCCACAAAAAGAAACCCACAAAGCTTTTTGAGCTTTTGAGGATATTATTTAGGCTGACCTTGCTATGTGTAGTGGCAGGAGTAGAACCAGGTACTCTGAACACACTGACTTAGTGGGTACCATTGGAGATTTCTTCTTAAATTCTGATGAAGCACAACATTGTGGTTAAACTGACCTAACACTAAGAGCTCATTCCTAGGCTAGACACTTCTACATAGAATTTTCAAAACTAATAGAGGAGCTGGAGAAGATCTTTCCTTAATGTTTTTGTCAGTGACAAAAAGAATGGGGTTAAATCCTCAGCATGCACAAGGCCCTGGCTTCCATTTGTGTCACCACAGAATGAGAGGGGGAGGGTAGCGGAAGTCTTAGCTAATGGGGCAGAGTCATTTCTTTGGGAATGTGGGAAATGACAAACAACTGGATGAAGGAAAAGAACCCACACTGAAGTGAAGGTCACTGAAACGGAAAGACCAAAGGTAGAAAGAGCAAAAATGATGCTAGAAAGCTCAGGCCCATGAGATCCAACAGACATCAGACATGGGCGAGAGATTAGGAGGGTGGTGGTCCACAGACTGTCATGGGCTCTGATGATTCCATAGGATTAAAATATGGAAAAACTGCATCAGGAAAGGAAGGTTCATAGAATTTATAGATGAGAGCTCCGTGGTTGGAAACATCATAAAATGAGAGAGTGCAAGCTTCTCTGTCCAGGAAAACTCCAACACGACTGGGAGGACGAGTCAGAGAGAGAACCAAGACACTGGCATTGTGAGTGACAGAACACTCTACAAAGGCATTATATACGGACCTATTCGTCATCCCTATAACCCAGTAGCCATGTTTAGGCTGATAATTTACATGAAGTTTTTTATCAGAATCATCTTTAACTTCATATTTACACTGATAACCATACTGTTTATTATCAAAATCATATTTGTGTCTAAAGTCAAAGGCATATTCATGCTGATAATTTACATGTTGTTCAATTTCAGAAGCATATTTGCTTTTGATGCCCTTTTCATTCAGAGTATCAAGTTGGGGTTTAGCACATTTTCCATCATTTAATCCCAGGAGCCAAGAGTCACATTTAGATACATCCACTTCCCAGTAATGTTTCCCTGCATATAATTCTGTAAATCCCAGAACACCAAAAATATAGGTCTCAGAAATTGGCAAATTTCTTCCATAACCATTTTGACGTTGTATTTGTCTTTTTTCCATGTTAATGGCAACATGTTCATTACGCACTTGACTCAGGGGCACATGAACTGCAGAAAAATGAGACATAGAAGTTAAGTCACACGAGAGGCAAGGTACAGTCTTGCTTGTGATGTAAGGAGCAGAAGCCTAAGGAGGAAGAGAGAGGGAACTTGGAGGAGCTGTGTTTAAATCAAGAAGATACAGATTGCTGTGTTTATTGGGAGAAGTAACATGGATCACATGAGGGTTAGTAGAGAAACAAATTCTGAAAGGCATTAAGAAGAGAGTGGCATATAGTGCTGTGATTTCTCCTTACCCCAGTAGCGCTGGGCATCCATGAGCCCTGAAATGATGAAAATTCACAGCATTAAATGGAAGCAAAGGAACCAAAAATAAATGTCAATCTCCTCTGCAGATTAGGGGATGGATTGTAAATTGTGATATAGGATGGGATGAATGATTTCTCATTAAATGTGATGAAATCACTGGGACACATTATCTGCTCTTCTGAGTCCTCTGCCCATGTGCAGAAATATCACTGTCTTCCTCAACAATATAGTCCCAGCCCCAGCTGGAATCCCCCAGTAACCCACAGAATGCAGCTGCTCTCACCTTGAAACACTTGCAGCATGCCTTTCATATCTGGAGCTCGGAAGATCCTTCTCTGTTTTCTTGGGACCATTTCAGGTTGTTTCACTTTTAAGGCCTGGCTCCTAGGGACAAGATTGACCTTCACAGCTCAGATAGTGTGACCTTGACCATCATTCTAGCTATAGACATCCTGAACTTCCCCTGAGAATTCTGATAAGGGGGTTGGAGGGTAGGCTACTGACTCTGGAGACATGAGAGACACACTCATCACTCCCCACTTACTTGCTATGTGATGCTGGGAATGCTTTACTTCTCAGAGGCAGAACTCCTCACTTGTACAGTCAAACAACTTGTTACACCATTCTCAAGCCCTGCCCCAAAGGCTTAAAAAATAATGAATTAATGAACTTTAAAACAAACCAAACTAAGGTACCCAAGTATAATGTGAGGGTCAGGCATGGTGTCACAAGTCACATGCCTTTGATCCCTGAACATAGGAGGCAGAGTCAGGAGGATTTATAAGTTCGAGGTCTCGAATGAGTTCCAGGACAGCCAGGGCTACAGAGTAATCTAAAAAACTAAAGTCTCAAAAAATAAAGAATAGATAAATGTAAGAAGGGAAGAAAACAGGTGTTGGATTTCAAGAACTTGGTCTAACAGTCTGGAGTGTGGAAGCTGTTCCTGGGTATAAAATGTGGAAACGCCTTAGGAGAAAGTGAAGAGTTCAAATCCTGTTTTCAATATGGACACTCTGGGCTAGCATCTGATTTTTTTGATACTTCAAGTTCTTTTGTTACAATGACAAATTTGGCCAAGGAGACAGGAGCACTAAGTTAATTAGAATATGGGACCCCAAAATTCAGAAAGAGCCTGATGCCGAGAGCCTGGTTGTGACTCTTTACATACAAGGGCACAGCTTTCCAGTCTTCTGAAGTATGTGGCTCACCTACTTCAAGTCTGTTTGTGAAAAATCTAAGCACAACCACAAAAGAACTCTGGATCTTTCCCATCCTACCAGAAACATATAGATTCCCAGGAATTTTCCCAATGTGCAATTCTGTGAACATTGCAGCTAGGATGGATCTATGAATCAAGTCTTGTTAACTGCAGACAGCCAGACACAAGCACACAGTGTGGACAGAATGATGGAACCACAGGAGTCTGAAAGCCCATGTGACTGCATTTGCCTCATCCCACTGCTGAGCCTAACTCTGGATGCCCCATTACCCAGTCCCCTAAAAGAGAATCAATCTGTTCTCAGTAGTTACAAAACAGACAGACCCGGCCTTTCTTTCCCTGCCTTCTCCTCCTTCTCACTGTAACTTCAGAATAAATTTGTCTAAATGCCCCAAACCCATGACACATTTATTCTAGTTGGACCCTAAATCATTCTCACTATACAGTAGGCTTAATCTTCCCTGTCAGCCCACACATACCTTGTTAGGACAGAATTCACACCCTAGGGAGGAGGGAGAAAACACAGTTAATAACATGTTCTGCATATTCTAGCACATCCTGGTCACACTCTCACTGGCCGCAGAGAAAAAGTCAATAGAGAGTGACGCCAGTGCCTCCCACCCCCCCAGTTCTCCAAGACATCATATAAATACAATAAATCAATTTTACTCGACTTACATGCAAACTAATAGACTATTTTGTGTCTCCTACTACAAGGCTTTGGAGACCAAAGATAAATAAACTATAGTTTGAAAGCTTCTATAGGTTTTGTTCTACTAAACATATAAACACATGACTTTTCACCTGCTCCATGTTAGCTATCCATTACCTTACTTGCAACTCACATGTCTGAGAAGCTGATTTCCAAATTATTTTAGTCATTTAGACACAATTTAGTAAATTAGTAATGAAGAAGCTACAAGAACCAGAAGAATAGATTGTCTGATACTTAAAACCAACTAAGGATATGTCTGTCTCTTTTTTTCTCTCACTGTAATTGTCCTGGTGGAAAAAGAAGTTAGTCTAAAGGGACATGTGTTCTCTCAATTTGTCAAACCATTTAAACAATGACTCTCATCCCCAAAATGGCAATTTCTCCAGGAATTCCACTCTGGGAGAAGAAAACAGCTCTAGCCAAAGAGAGCTAGCATCCTGAAAAGCTTTTAGGCCATTTTAATTACTTGCCAGACCACTTTAAAGTACTAGTCTGTATTCCAGATACTGATGGAAGAATGATGGACAGGACCACACCTTGACCCAGACTACTCATTCGTGCATAACCTGAGCTATTTAAACTTTGATCTCACTTAAGGATGGACAGAGAGGGTTTTAATACCTTTTTCCATCTTTGAAAAGTGACCACATTGAATAAACATCTTTTCTCTGCTTTCCAGTTTTTTTACTCTTGTACATGGGAGAGGTATAAAAGACCTGACCTGCCAGGTAAGTTGCCTCCTCAATTAGCCACTTGTCCTGGGTTTGAGACCTAAGGCCCTGCCAATAGTGTTGAATGTGTGGTTTTCCCTGGATATTGGTAGATTTAACTAAAGTTACATTCTTTGACAAATGTGACCTTTCTCCTAACAGCTATCAATTACCAGGAGCTCCTTGAGGAGCTTTCCATAGTGGAATTTTGTGTGGTTTAGGTTTGTACAGGCCTTGCGTTTGGTGTCCCAACCAATTGTAGTTTTATATGTGCTGCTGCTAAGCTGTGTCCAGAAGACACTGTTGTCCTTATACTCATCCACCACCTCTGGCTCTTGCATGCTTTCTGCCCTTCTGCAATCTTCCCTGGGCCTTCAAATTAGATGTGGAGTATGTACGGTCCATTTAAAGCTGGACATCCTGTAGTCTCTTACTCTCTGTACCTTCTCTGGGTCCCTATGTAACCCTACTGGCCTGGAGCCCACTATATAGACCAGGGCTGGCCTTGAACCTATGTAGTTTCATTTGCTTCTGTATTCCAACTGCTGGGATTAAAGGAGTGAGGCAGCACACCTGGCTATCCATTGGGAAGCTTATACATAATTTTCTTTACTATGGGCTTCTCATGTTTTTTTTTTTCTATGTATGAGAAACTCTCAAGCACTGAGATCACAGGCAATAGATGCTTGGCTATACATGGCTGTATTTTCTATAACATAAACCAACAACAGTGGATCCCATAGTAAAAGGAGTTCTGGGGAAAACTAATCATTCAAGTTATAGGTGAATTCTGATGGTCAGACTTGTCCTCATAGAGACATCTGTATGATCTTGTCCACTGAGTCATTATCAGAATGCATAGAATAGAGTCAACTGGAGAACTAATCAACAGAGGAATGGATAAAAATGGTGTGATAAGCATATATGTTAAGACATTAGGCATTCAAAGTAAGACGTATTGCCATTTGTGGTAACTTGCCTGACCCAGAGAATTTATGTTAAACTAAACCAGCGAGGCACAGGAAAAAACACTAAGTGATGTGTGTCATGCACAAAAATTGATCTCACAAAGTAAAGATTTGAATATGTGACATCAGGGGCTGGAAGCAGAGAAAGATGGGCAGATTCTTTGGTCAATAGATACAATTTTAGGCTCTTAGAGTATGGTGGCTGTAGTTAGTAACTATGTGAACTAGCTTTGTTTAGCCTATATGTACAATTCAGTCTAATACAGGTGACGAATGGCGTTCTCAATAATAATTAAAAGAACACAATGGAGTACAAAAAGTTCCTACAACTACCAATTTGTCTTATACATTGACAATTGATATGAAAGAAGCAAACTACTACAGAGATATTCATCACTAAAATATGGCTTTGGTTTAAAGGATTTAAAAAAATGTAATAGGGATAAAATACAACACAAACTTTATACTTGTTTCCAACAATAAGCTAGACGAAACTGGTGTGAAGCTGCCGTGCAATGCTATCAAACAGTCCAATTGCCACCTAGAGAATTGCAGGTTGGAAGCCTGTGAGCTAACTGCTGCCTGTTGTGAGGACCTGGCTTCTACTTTTACTCAGCATAAGATCCTGTGGTGACTCAATCTGTTACAGAACGTCTTGGACCACAGTGGGTTGGCTATGCTGTGCAACACTCTGAAACAGCACAGGTGGACCCTGCATGCACTTGGAGTGGCTAAAAATTACCCACTTTGATAAGGAAACCCAGGAGTTTCGGTTTGCCAAGGAGAAAAATCCCTGCTTGACGATCTTTAGCAGTGTGTAAGTTGGAGTGGAAAACGAGAGTGGACATCCTAGTGCAAGAAACATGGGCATATTCTGAGCCCAAAACACCTCCAAAAGAATGGGATTCTACTTTTGACCCACTTGCACACAAAAACGAACAGATCTCTAACATTCCAGTGAGACAGGATTTCTTTGTCCCTCCCCCATCCAGATGTTCCATTAAGATCAATGTGTTTTGTTTTGTGGGCCTTTCAACCACCTATGTTCTAAAAATGACTACATAATAGTGACATTGTTCACACTGGTTTGTTAAGCACCCAATAAATTGCTTTACCTTTAAATGCTTTGGAGATCTCTTAAAATGAGATTTGCCTGTGGGTGGATTACTAGAGTCATGAAGGTTATATAGGCAATAATGGTACCCTATAAGGTTATTGGAGGAAATTTTAATTGGCTATGCATGGCAAACCTTTAGGAAAGAACCTACTCCAACCAGACACTCATTCAGATAAACGGAAACTGTTGCTGTTTTGTATTTTGTATTAAATAATAATTTAAGCATTTCTCAAATCTACTGACTTCTAGTCTCAAATTTTAAAGCATACATGGTCATGTCTTTTTTCTTTTTACTTTTTAAAATAAATATTCTGGGTTACAATAGAAATTATTTACAAAAAATGTGAAAGAGATAAAATATAATACAAACTTTACATCTGTATGATAAAGAAGACACAATTCATCTCAGAAACTCAAGACAGGACAAACTTTCTGAGATCTTGGATAGTAAATTTCCTCCTACTACCACACCACTGTAATCAGAGGCAGTGGGGGTGTGATGCGGAAGTCCTGTGTATATGTCAATAAAGCACTGTTGGCCAATAGGGAAACAAGATAGATGGGATTAGAAGTCTAGGAGGATTCTGGGAAGGAGAATCACAGGGAGTCACGATGTAGCCGCCATAGGTATAAAAGTCCGGACCCTTTCTCCGGTAAGAGAAATTGTTAGATTAACAATTATGGAGTAAATACTTAAGTCAGAGATAGCCAGTAAGAAACAAGCAAGGCCAACAACTTCATAATTAATACAGCATCTTGTGTATTATTTGGGGACTCCAACGTGGCAGAACCCAGGCAACTGGTGGGGAAAAACCAAAGAGAATGGAGGGTCACGTTGCTCTCAACAGGGGTGAAAGACTCCATACACACAAAGGGAGAAATAATTTCTACTAATTTCAAATTCAGTTGCAGTGATAATGACAGTTGAAAATGTGCTTCACACATGCTCAGCATTGCAGCAGGGTAGAAACTACCCATGATGCAACACATCTTCTCTACCAGGTTCTGCATCTGTACTGTATTTGATAAGCTAAAAAAAAATGCAATTTCCCCTTGCCATCCATGCATGCAGTGATTTTCCAGTCTCTGAAACTGGCTCAGGAAAGAGTTCAGGGAGGGCACAGAGAGCCCTGTTGTCATCATCAGGAAGATCACAGCAGCACAGAAGGAGGGCAATGGCTTCCAGGTCTCCTGACTCTCAGATGCTGGGACCTCCTGCAGTCTTACCTGCAGCATTTCAATGGTTGAGCACTTCAGCTGATGCTCCACATCTGAGATGAGGTCTCTCACTGCCTCCCTCTGCTTCTCCAGCTCAGTTTGAGACTCTGCCAGGCTGTTCATGATGCCTTCCTTCTCCTGCATCAGCTTCTGCAGCTCACTCTTCTCCTTGGAGTCTAGGAATTCCCGCAGCCCTTTAAACTCCATCTGCACATTTTCTTCCTCACTGTGTATTTGGTTCTTAAGGGAGAAAAAAATCAGACTCTCCTGATGGGACTGGAGGACAGAAAACCACTGTGGCGATGAGAAGGTCTCACAGGGAACTGAGCTTGGGGAGGGAAGGGAGTCTTAGGGAAACAGGTGTGTCCTTTCAGGGTCTGTTCATGACATTCCTAAACAAAGATCTCAGGTCACCTTTACCAAGGCCACCTGAGCCAAAGTGTGATGCCTGGATGTGGCTCAGTTTTCACACAGCTGCTCCAGAATCTATTTCTGCCTGCAATACTCCTCATTCTACCTCTGAACCCCTCAGATAATTTAACCCCAAGAACAGAATAGTGAGTGTTCCCAAGATCTTCCCAATAGTCATAGTTCCAGAAAACACCACAGGAGTGAGGCCCAGGCCTCAGTGCCCATTCTCACCAGGCCCCTCCATGGCTTCAGTTCCTCACATAGCCAGTCTCAGTTGTGAGGCATGCACTATGCAGCCTCAGTCCCAAGGGAACAGGTAGAGAGGACTAATCAAGGCCCCTTGGCCTCATCAATTACCTGGGAATGAAGAGTCAGGGAACTTCTTACCCAGTTCCCTCCTAACCATCAGGCTGACTCCCTGAGGAAGGGTCCTCACTTACCACCCAGTAAGTTAGGGCGTTTCGATAGTCATCTCCCCATTCTTCACATCTTTTCTCATTTGCCATCTGCATTTGCAGAGCAGCCTGGAGCTTCTCCTATGGGAGAAGAATTGTAGTACAGGTAAGCTGTGTGCTTAGTAGGACTGCTGTTCTTAACCATAGGCCAAGAAACCCTTGAAGAAAGAGAGAATGCCTAGGAGTGTTTTCTTTTAAAAACTTATGCCAGGATTTATGTACATAAAGTATGTAAATCTTCAGTTCCTTTCTCAATCATCTGTTTATACACACACAATTCCCATATTGATAGAGACACAGAAATCTCTTAGCAAACATCCCACCATGTACAAACCCATTCCTGAAATTCTGGCATCAGAAAACTGGGATAATTTTGTTATCCCACCACATGCTCCCAATTGACACCTGCACATTCTCTCTCTCTCTCTCTCTCTCTCTCTCTCTCTCTCTCTCTCCACCTTGACCACATGCACACTTTTGTCATTTCTTTTACTTTTTATTAATTGTCCTTGTTTTATGTAGCTAAGGTTTTTCCGTCACTGAAAATAGATTTTTTTCTTAAAGTATATTGTGATTACAGATTCCCTTGCCCCTACCTCCCCTCCTAACTAGATGCATACCCTTTATATCTGTTACAAAAGAAACAGGTATCTATGGGATAATAAGAGAACAGAAGAAAACACAATAAAAGAGATAAAAAACCAATACACTGGAATATGACAAAACAAACCAGAAAAAGAGCTAAATAAAAAGTACAAGGAAGAAATATAGATGCAGAGAAATGGACGTTTCCAGCATATGGAAATCCCATAGAACCCAAGCTTTAATATAAACGAAAAGAAACAGTAAGGTAGCAAAAAGTAAAACAAAACAAACAAATAAACAAAAACACCCCATGTATCATTTGATGTCAGTCCTAGGTGCACTGGTAAAGAAGCTCACCAACACGCTATGGTTTCATTTCCCTAAGGAGCAGAGAAGGACATTCCTCGTGGGAAGGACTGACATCCAGCTAGCTCACTCCAGTTACTTTATTCAAACACATACAAGGTTAATAGGAGCTGGGAAAGGTTCCAACTAACAACCTTATCTTGCTCTTGCTGCCTGTGAGAACAGACAACCCACGCAAATCTCAGTCCCCTTTGACTATGGCAGCCATAATCAAAAGTAACAAAACTCCAGGTCAGCCAGGAGTGTCTGAGGACCAAGGTTGGGGCAGTTGCAAGCTCCCACATAGCACCAAGTGCAGCCTCTCCAGAGAGACAACATTTCTTCAGGGTTTAAACAGTCTCAGAACAATTTCTCAGCCTCTACTGATGATCACAAACAGAGCAGAGGCTTTGCTTAAACATTCACTACAAGTGAGACATGAAGGTTTCACTTTACATATCAAGACAGCCCACATTTAACATTATGAGAGAAAGAACCTCTACATGTGGATTCGCTTCATTTTCTGTGGTCATCCACCTACTGCTAGGGATGGGGCCTTTCCTTAAGGATGGTTCATTTCCCGGTTGAGACTCCTTTGGAGAAAATAACTTTTTAATTATAAATAGCTATCTATTGGAAATGGCTTCTGGGTTAGGGGTGGGTCATTACCCACCTCTTCTAGTTCTAGGATCCCATCTGGTGTAGACCCCCGCAGGCCCTGTGCATGCTGCCTTAGTCTCTGAGGATTTACATGGGGGCTCAAAAACAACAGAAAACAAAGACCCAACACAGACCTTGCCCCTGTGTCTTTCCTTATGAACTGCTTTCTCCTCTTTCCCAATGTTTCAGTTGCCATACATACATTCTCTTCCATGCTGCCATTCATTCATTTACTAACCCCACTGTTGATCGTCACTAGATGGATTTTAGGAACTAGGAATGAATCTTACATAAGCAATGAAAAAGGATAAATATGGAAGAAATTAGATGTTCTGCTCTTGGCTTTTCTTGATCATTGACTCAAACTCACAAGGACAGTTTCATGACATTATTTTTTCTATCCTAATATTTGTAGTTCAGGCAGATTCTCATATGATAAAGTAGAATAAATCATCATGTCCTTTTAGGACTCTAAAGGTAAGAAAGGAAGTAATGATATATCAACCCTTAAGTCTATGATGTCCAGGTAAATTAACCTGTCACAGCAAGTGGGGATTTCCCATTTGTTACTGTCTCATGCTCTGTGTCCCACACCATCCCATTTCTTACCTCATACTTATAGGCCACCTCTTCAATGGGAGCTGGTTTGTGATCAAGGTGATCCTGAGATCCCTCACAAAGGTTGCAGATGGCCACCATGTCCTTCTCACATAAGAGCTGGAGTTTCTCTCTATGCCACGGACAGTAAAAAACCTTCTGCTTCTCCTCTGGGCAGCACTTGAACCTCTTCAGCCTCTCCACTATGTTGGCCACATGTCGATTAGATCTCAGAGTCCCAAATCGGAAACTAACTCCACACACAGGGCAGATGCCTTTTGCTTTTTTGCCTTTGCTAGAATCATAGTTCAGTGTGATGCAGACATGGCAGAAGCTGTGACCACAATCTGCACTCACAGGTTCTACCATCAGGTGCAGACAGACAGGACAGGTCACCTCCTCCTTGATCATCACTAGGACTGACAAGGCCATTGTTGCTGTGACCCTGGGTCTGTCTGTCCTGACTCCTGACTCTTCTCCTCAGGTATCTGTGTGATTGGAATGAGGAAAAGGGGGACAAGTAAGAAAGGGAAAATGAGCATGGACACTGCAGAGATAAATGAATGACCTTGGTGATAGGGAAAAGAACAAAGGGGGACAAATACAGAAAGAAGTTTAGTGACATGGCAAAAGGAGCATTTTGTCAAAATTTCAAATCCTCTACTGTATTTTGTTCCAAATGACAAATTTCAGATGCAGGACAGTCATTTCCTTTTACTGGAGAGCAGAAAGGAAGTGTTTCCTTCCAACAGCCTCGTGTAACCTACCTTCTCTCCTTCCCTCTCTTTCCCAGCACATCCCCAGAGTAAAAGCATCAAACTACTCATGTCTCCACTGCTGTACTTCCTCCTCATCAGTACCAGGGATCCAGGGATCCGGTACTCAGGTGGGCAAAGAGTCGGCGAGTGACAAACAGACACAACACAAGAGTGCCGGATCTGAGTGTAATTTCTCAAAGCATGCATCTGACTTTTATAATCATTACATGAGGAAATAAGGAAGTTAATCTTATACCTATGTCAAGGTACAAAGAGGTCTGCAAAATCGACACACAAAGCACATCATGAGACTAAAAGTTCCAAACAGGAAATCAAATGCATGAGAACTGGCAGTAGGCAGACAGTGGTTACAACATGCTAACATCAGCTCTGTCAAAGACGAAACTATTCTTAGAATTACTTCTCCTGTCTTATGGGCTCATGCCCCAGCCATAGTCGCAAATCTTGGTCCAGTGCTTAACCCACCATTGGCCTGCCTTCTCTAGCTTTCAGATTATACCTGTTTTGCTGTGCCTTGGATAACAGACATCAAGATGGTCTTGCTCTAGCAAGCCTTTCCATAAAATTCAGGATGTAGTACAACACACGTTCTCCTCCTATATTTACCCACCTATTATCCTCTTCATCATAAATTCCAGTATAAGGAAGGGGAGCAGCCATTGGCCTAAGCATTTGGGGAGATTCCCTATTACTGGAGGAGTCCACCAACACCCCTGATTTTGTAATGAATTCTGCCATACATAACTGTAGTGGGAATTCCTAGATTACTCAATTGAATTTTCCTGCACTTTCTAATTCCCTTCCTTTTAACTGTAATGTCTTGATTCTTTCACTATCAACTCTATCTGGGCCTTTCATAAACAGCTCCTGCTGCTGTAATTCATTAAAGACATCCCCTAATGTCTGATTTTCCTTATAGGGAATTTTTTTTTAACACAGCTTTCAGCAATGGAGGCAGTTCATCAGAATAATTAATACCTGTTCTAAATTCCAGATTCAAAGTTGGTTCTGTTTCTGGCAAGGAAGTTGGATCATCAGAGGGGGAACATCCAATTTTACTGGACCTTCAATTAGATTGGACCCTTGAGGCACACTTGTTCCTACAAAAGAAATTAATACCAAAAAAGATAGGGTACAGAAACACCCACCGGTTACTGCTAGAATAAATCTGGAACATATCCTTGATATGAGACACCAAGGACCTCCAGGAGATCAATTTCCATGAAAATCTGGCCTCAGGCCTCAGTCCAAGTTTTTAGGATTGTCAGGGAGCCTCCACTTGTGGGGACACCAGTCCTTGAGCAGAAACCCACTTCCCCTTTGGCCTGGGAGCAGGCAGCTGTGTAATGTTTACTGAAAACAATTCAGTGCTATAAAGCTCTTGATAGGGCTCAGATAAGGGCTTGCTCACTGAGATACCATGACTTTCACACTCCCTAAGGCTGGATGCCTCTTCCTGTTCCTCCCTGGGGCTGGAGATTAAACCACCAGCCAGGAGGGTGAGAAGTCTGGAAAGAATTGTATGTAGATGGATGACAGAAGTCCTTAAAAAGGGAAGCTCTTTTTTCCTGGAGAGACTTCTCTATCCTAAGCAGACTTGGAATCTCCTCCTAAGCTGACTTGGGAAGCATAAAGTTTTTCTTAAAGCATAAAGTTTTTCATAAAGTTTTTCTCTGTGTCATCTATCCCGACCACCTCGCTGCATTCTCGGATGCAGGCCCCACAGCAGGTGCGACATCCACTGGAGTCAGTGTGGCATCTCTCTGATCCTCTTCATACCAGAAGGTAAGAAGTTTCTTACCAGAAGGCCTGGTGCTCACCGGGACTGTATACAGTCCCATCTCCTGGTGCACTTAGGCAATGATTTCTCTTGTTGACAATAAATGTCAGCGGATATGTTTGTACACCTAGTTAAGCTCTGCACTAGATATATAGAGATGGTTAGTTACAAGGATCATTTGTCTTCAATACACTGAAAGGGATTTGAAGCCATCCCTTTAGCATCTTTCAGAGGTCCCTGCTCTACCCCATAGAGTTCACTAAAGGAAAAAGAGGTGACAGCCAGAACAGAATTGATAGCCAGAACATTGTGTGTATGGAATTATACCTCCAAGCCCTGTGGGTTCTGAGGAATTTTGTGTGTGTAAATGTTGAAAATTTATCTTGTGTTGTTTCTCATCAAATACAGTGTCATGTCCCTTAAACAACTGTTGTCTTAACAACCACAACTCCTCAGCTACCAGCAGTGATCAGGACACAAGGACCACAGCCTGCAGGAATTCTGTTCTTTCATGCTCTGACTCTCTCAAGACCACTAAGGGAAGCTTTGTCTGGATCTCCACAACTCTACTGAAGTCAGGATTCAAAGGGTGAGGGGAATTCTGCTCTCTCAGAGGCTGAAGAGCAAGTAGCTAGCTTTGTCTCTGTGTTCTGGCTCCCACAAGCACTGAGTCCTCTTGCTGGGTTCACACTTAAGAATCCTGGCCACATACAGCTCCTCCCTACCACTTCCTGTCAGCTGACTCAGCCTCTTGACCACAGGTTAATTTTATGTCATCAAACAAATGCACCATGTCTTTGCATTTTTAACAAAAGCAGTAGGAAATTTTTTTTTGTTTTTGTTTTTCGAGACAAGGTTTCTCTGTGGCTTTGGAGCCTGTCCTGGAACCAGCTCTAGTAGTCTAGGCTGGTCTCAAACTCACAGAGATCCGCATGCCTCTTCCTCCCAAGTGTTGGGATTAAAGGTGTGAGCCACCAATACCCCGCTCAGCAATAAGAAATTTAACACACCTTAAAATAATATTACTCAACAATCTTGGTCTAGAAATTTGACCAAGAAATTGATAGGAGACTCTAGTTACAAATGCCAGCAAGATACTGAGCTGGGGGTTGGAAAGATGGCTCAGTGGTTAAGGTCATTGACTGAACTTTCTGGGGACCTGGGTTCAGTTCCCAGCACGCATGTGGCAGCTAAAGGTTGTCTGTAACTCTAGTTCCAGAGTCAGACTTCCTCATATAGACATATATGCAGGCAAACAACAATGCACAGAAAATAAAAATAATTAAAAAAAGATACTGAGTTCAAAACCACATGAGAAATTATACTTCAAAGTACACTAAGTTCCCCTAATAACAGGCACTATCAGTTCAGCAGACAAAAGCAATGGACAACCTACACCTCATCAGCAAATTAAAGATAAGATTCTGCCCATTCTTTGCATCAAACTATTTGACAATACACACCATTGTTTCAGGAATATAAATTCTACAAATGCTTAGGTAGAGACATAAATTTCCTTATTTAAAGCCACACATGAATATCCCACTGCTCATAAGAAATTTAGGGCAATGGAAATTCCTTTTGTAAAGTCTGCATAAAACAATGGTGCTTATTGCTGTCATTTCTTGGAAACACAGCAAGGACAGGGAAGTACCTGCAACACAAGAAGAGTAGAAGAATAAATAAAGGAAAGGTATGCATATTAGAGGTTTTTTTTTGTTTTTGTTTTTTTGTTTTGTTTTTTTTTTTTTAGACAAGGCATTGTGTAGTATTCTGGAACTAACATTGTAGACCAGGATGGCCTTGAACTCAAAGAGACACACTTCTCTCTGCCTCCTGGGCATTTGGATTAAAGGCTTGTGCCACCACCACCAGGTCACATTTGTTTTCCAGATGAAAGAAAAGGCAGCAAGCTCAGTGAAGATTCACATGCAATATGCAGTATAGAAAAGTCACAGATAGTGAGGAATCTGAAAAGAAACTAAGAAGCTGAACTGTTGCTGCTGGCCTCTAAACCAGGATTCTTAGGAAGCTGATGCCACAGGATGGCAAGTTCAAGTCTCTTTAGGCAAACAGTGTTACAGCTAAAAACCAGAGTGAAAGAGCTGAAGGGAAGGCTCAGTGGGTGAGCACCACAGAGGATACCCAGTAACCAGGCATCCAATCCTTATCAGCTTCCATTGTACTAAGTTGTAACCAGGCATCCAATCCTTATCAGCTTCCATTGCACTAGGTTGCTTTATCACCCTTCAAATGCTCCCCATTCCAGCAAATACAGAGACACCAAAAGCACTAACTAGGTTTGTTCAACTCAAACACTAAGGCTGCAGACAGCTTGTTTCTTTTGTGATTGGGGTAGGTGATGGCTAAGGAAAATTCCATTGTGTGTTGGCACCCATTCTAAATTTCTAAAAGCAGCTCCTCCCAGCTCTCCCTCCTCGCTATGATCCCCTAAATTGGAAAGCACTATGAGATAATTAACTGCTTCCTCTGGCTTTGTGACCCCAGTTGTACTCTGGGGCAGGGAGTGAGAGCTCCTCACAGCTAAGGGGAGTACAAGCAGTTTCTCAGTCAGCTATACATTCCACACCAAGGAGACAGCCTGAAAATCCCCTCCTCCAGCCTCTTCTGTGTGACAAGCCTTTGATTTGTCTTTAAGGCTGTTATTGACCTGCTAGCAGTAATTAATAAACTCATTTAACTATAATTTGAGCCTATGGTCTTTTCCTGGTGGATCTGAACTCCGTTACAAGTAAACTTTTTTTTTGTTATGTGTTCCTTTTTTTTGTTTTTATATCCTCCTCTCCTCCTAGTCCTACTCCCAGCCTCTCCCCCTCCCACCCACCCCCAACAAATCTCCTCCAATTCTCTTCAGAAAAGGGCAGGGCTCTCAAGCAGCCATTGCATATCAAGTTGCAGGTGAAACTTTCTTTAAGGTTGATGAAACTTAAAGTATTGCTGTCATAAGGAAATGGTACCTTTTCCAAATAAGCTGGGGAATGAATTGTCCCTGATCTCATTTACTAAGTAGTGTTACCTGAAACAACTTAATTTGTACTCCCTAGATGTTGGCAAATTTAAAATCTGCACAACTCTACTGTATGCATTGTAATATTTTGCAAGATATGGCTGCTGCTCTCTTCTTAAGTTGTTTGTGCCTTTTATGCCACTGCTGTCCCAAATCAGAAAGTACAACTCCTCTGCTATCAGCAATAGTTAGGCTGCAATAGTCACTGCCTGAGGGAATTCTGTTCCCTCAGGCACACACTCTTTCAAAGCTAAGGGAACATATCTAAATCTCTGTTCCTCTAAAGAACTCAAAATTCAAAGGTTGAAGTGGAACCCTGCTCCTCAGAGAGGCTGAATAGCAAGTAGCTCACCTCAGGTCTTTCTGTCTCTTCAGAAGCCCCTGTGCTTCTCCTCACCCAGACTTAAAATCCCTTCTCCATCTGGCTCCTCCCTACCACTTCCTGTCAGCTACTTGCTGACCCAGGCTCCTGACTGCAGGTGAATTTTATTTAATCAAACACATATGTGAATCATTAGACAAATGTTCCAGAACATAAACTAAAGCAGCACACCTTAAAACCATATTCTATGATATACAGAAGTAAAGAGAGTGAATGCCTAAATTCAGAAGAGGTGTCCACACTGACCAAGAGCAGGAGAGAGCAAAGGGAAAGAGGATGGGCTCAGGACAGTCCTGAATGTCAACCTGGACACAGGAGGCCTGGCCTGTGTCCTCTGGTGTCTACACCAGTGTGTGTGAAGCTGGGATTCCCTGCTCCCTGTGCTTCCTTTCCTGGCTCTCAAGGTCTTCCTACCAGCAGACATCTTTCAGTTTTCACACCATTAAATCCATCAGGAGCTGTGCTGATCCTTGAAAAGTAGAAAAGTCCTGGGGTGCAATGTCCCCCTGTAATACAGTGTCTGGGCAGGGTGACAGGGCAGTTACATGAGGTTAGCCTGTGCCATCGTTGGGTATCATGTCCCCAAGGAAATGAAAAGCTTTCACATGTGCAGTCCCAGTGTTCTCACAGAGTTTCTTTTCTTTCCCTGTCTCCTCCTTCTCTGTCTTTCCTTGGGATCGAATCCTGGACCTAGAGCACACTTGAAAGTGTGACCCCCATCCCCAAGAAGCATCCCAAAAAGCAACACCACTTGCATGGTCTTATTGTGCCCCACACAACTATCTTTGCAGTTGCAATTCGTAGTCTGGGCTGGTTTTCATTTTGGCATGGCACACATGGATCAAGGAAAAGGCTGGCAAATGTAATGACTTTCAAGTAACATTAGCAATTCACTACAGATTTGAGGCTGATCATAGAACAAGTAAACATAAAATAGGCTGCAGATAGATTGGTACTTCTAATCACAGAGACAGAAGCAAAGGGAATGAACCTATTGAGTCATGGGTAGATACACTGTTACACAGAGAGACCTTAACTAACACCGTTCTGGTTTCACTCCTTCAGTTAGTTGGGGAGGGGAGGACAAGGACAGGGACTAGTGTCTGTCTGGCAACAGGGGCTTCTTGGTGCAGCTAAAAATTAAACATTCGGAAAGAAGAGAGTGGACTCCAACTAGAGAAATACCTGGTCTTCTCTTGATCTTGAAACCTGTCTTTTTTCAAGACCCCGCCTCCATTTGTCTTCTCAACCCTAGAGCACTCAGCAGGAGGCCAGCAGCCCCTCTTTCCCAGAGTCTTCTTGGCTTCAAATTTAACTCACCTGAAGGAAGATTGTTTTCTTTTAAATTCCTCCAAATTCTGCCCTCCAAAATTGCTCTCACACCCTCAGAAGCCAACTAAAAGATCCTGAATCTGGAGCGGAGATAATGATGGCCAGGGCACATGGGCGGAAATGGAGTCAGTCCCGGGTAGGGCATGTGGGCGGAGAGTCATCAGATGAACCAGCAGAGAAATGAAACTCTACACTTTGAGGGCCGGAACAATGAGAAACTGCAGAGCTCCCAGCCAATGGGTTGCGAGCAAGGTATCTGAGTTCCTAACAGTAGAGGGAGCCAGTTGCCTTGGGTCAGCAACGTCTTCCAGGATTTTGGGACATTTTTCAGTGCTGCAGTAGCTTGTCATGACACTATTTCAGGCTCATGGCACAATCAGCCTAAAAGATCCCTAACATCGGCAAAGCTGCTACTGATGGATAGAAAGACTTCCTGGGGACTCCTCTTCCATCGGAGTCACAGGTGGGTTTTACTTTAGGTAGCAGGTGTGACCCAAAGGGAAGGAAAACCAAGGTGAGGGACAGAGGACTGCAGTGTTCCTCTGGAGTTGGACTTGGGCACTTACAGGATGAGAACAGGAAGGAAGCTGCATTCAGGGCAGCTGCTGCACTATCAACATTTCCCACCCAGCAGGGACAGGATGGGGAGGATTCCCCTGCAGAGCCATGCAGAAACACTTCCCCACACTCACAGCAGTGAAACTAACAAACTACAGACGCTCTTCAGATGCTCAGTGCTGTCCTACAGATTATATATCCCGTTGCTGAGTAGACCAAGTCCTCTTCACACTGCTGATGGGACACCTTCATTGTATCCAGGAATCCCTCACTAGAATGTCTCAGCAGTCCCCGTCTGAGTTATGATTTCTACTTATGACCTCGGATATTGTCTGAGCATCCCCTGAATTAGAAGTTAAAAATGTGTAGATTTCAGAGTGTGGTTGAGCTGGCACACTTTCTGCCTAGCATTGTAGAACCCTGCAGTGGATTCTGAGAAGTGTACAAACCCAGGTGTGGTGGCACATGTATGCAGTCTGTCTTAGTTACTCTTCTATTGCTATAATAAACATCAGGGCTGAGGCACCTTATAATGACAGTGTTTCATTTGGGGCTTAAAGTTTCAAAGGGTTAGAGGTCATGACCACCACAGTGGAGAGCATGGCAGCAGGCAGAGAGGCTTGGTGCTGGTGCAGGAGTTGAAAGGTCACACTTGAGACACAAACTTGATACATAGACACTGAGAATGGCCAAAATGTATTGAAATCTCAAAGCTCACACTCATGTCACATATACTCCAATAATGTCATACCTCCAAATCTATTTCAGTCCCTGAGCTTAGGATGGCTAGATCTCCTGTTCATGGATTGGTTGGTTTTCTGCACAGGGTTAGGGTCAGATTTGGCTCTGATTTCAGGGCAAAGTGTGTCTCTTTCTCTGGTCCTTTTTAGCCATTTGGCTCTGGTTTTAGGGCCAGGGTGTATTTCTTTCACTGGCTCTGATTCCAGGGATAAAGTGTGTTTCTTTGGAACAGGTTTCAGAGTCTGGATACATTTTTTTTTTTTTTTGGTTCTGGTTGCAGGGCCAATGTGTATTTCTTTGGCTTAAGGTGTGTTTCTTTGGGACCACAAACAGGAGGTAGAGGGTAGCAGAGGTTTTACTTTACCTAATGAGGAAGATGATGAATTACTATTGTCTTGTAAACAGACAAACAACTGGATGCAGGAAAAGAATACATTACTGATTTGTATGAGAACTGAAAGTTATTAAATAGACCAAATGTAATTGCCAGTGCTTACTTACTGGCCAAGGTCACCTGGATTGGCTACAAAGTATGAAATCAGGCACAGGTTGGGTGGGCCAGAGCAAGACTGAGACTGTGCCAGCTTTATTGAGAGCAATCAGACTTTTTACACCTGTATCAGAAATAGAATACAATGGTAATTTCCAGGATCAATACAATTGCAGTTGCCAGGAAACAACGAAGGTTGAAAATCATACAGCATACACAAGATTAATGTCTAAGTTCAATTTTCTTGTCAAGCTTCCATGCTTCCTTGACTATTAAGAGAACATACAGAGAAACCCAAAATTGCTTGAACACTTCACTGCCTTAGGGAGTGCATTCCTTTTTCAGAAACTGGATGTCACATTGTGTCCTAGGAGTCATGGACTCTAAACTGAGAAACTTGTGGCACATGCTTCTCAAAGCAGCTGGACCAAGGCAACCCCAATGTTTCCTTGCAACCAAAGACAGAAAAAAAGTTATAATGATCCTATAGGGCTCAAGCATATGAAATATACCAGACAAGGGGGCACTGTGCAGATATTGGTGAGGGTTTAGAATGGTGGCCTACAGACTGTCATTGGCTTTGATGATTCCATAGGATTAAAATATGGATGGACTGTATCAGGGAAGGAAGGTTCATAGAATTTATAGATGAGAGCTCCATGGTTGGAAACATCATAAAATGAGAGAGTGCAAGCTTCCCTGTCCAGGAAAACTCCAACACGACTGGGAGGACGAGTCAGAGAGAGGACCAAGACACTGGCATTGTGGGTGACAGAACACTCTACAAATGCATTATATACAGACCTATTCCTCATCCCTATAATCCAGTAGCCACATGTAGGTTGATAATTTACATGTTGTTTATCGTGAGAATTATACATGATGCCCATATGATTCATTGAACATAGTTGGGGTTGAGCACGTCTTCCATCATTTAATCCTAGGAGCCAGGCATCACACCCAGACACGTCTACTTCCCAGTAATGTTTCCCTGACTTCATAGCTGGAATTCCAAGGACACCTAAATCAAAAGTCTCATAATCTTGCAAATTTCTTCTATACCTGTATTGAAGTTGTATTTGTCTTTTTTCCATGTTAATGGCAACATTTTTATTGTGCATTTGACGCAGGGTCACATAAACTGCAGAAAAATGAGATATAGAAGTTAAAACTCACATGAGAGGCAAGCTATAGTCTTGTTTGTGATGGAAGGAGCAGAAGCCTAAGGAGGAATTGATAGGGAACTCGGAGAGCTGTGTTTAAAGTCAAGAAAAGACAGACTGCTGTATGTATTGGGAGAAGTAACATGGATCACATGAGGGTTAGTAGAGAAACAAATTCTAAAAGGCATTAAGAAGAGAGTAGCATATAGTGCTGTGATTTCTCCTTACCCCAGTAGCGCTGGGCATCCATGAGCCCTGAAATGATGAAGATTCACAACATTAACTGCCAGCAAAGGAATCAAAACATTAAAGTCAATCTCCAATGTAGATTAAGGGACGGACTATAAATTGTGATATAGGATGGGATGAATGATGATTTCCTATTAAATATGGTGAAATCACTGGGACACACTATCTGCTCTTCTGAGTCCTCTACCCATGTGCAGAAGCATCACTGTCTTCCCAGAGAGTGTAGCCCCAGCCCCAGCTGGAATCCCCCAGTTACCCTCAGAATGCAGCTGCTCTCACCTTGAAACACTTGCAGCATGCTTTTCACATCTGGAGCTCTGAAGATCCTTCTCTGTTTTCTTGGGACCATTGTGGTTAGTTTCACTCCTAAGGTCTGGCTCCTTGGGACAAAAGATTGACCTTCACATGTCAGACTGTGACCTTTGACCACCACTGACTCCCTTTCATTCTAACTACAGATGTTCTGGAGCTCTCCAGAAAATTCCAAGAAGGGAAAAAGAGGGTAGACTACTAACTGCAGACTTGTGCGACATACTCTTCACTCCTGGCTCACCACTTACTTGCTGTGTGATGTGGGAAAGTCTTGCTCCTCAGCAGCAGAGCTCCTCAATTTACAGGCAAAAACTTGTTCCCCCACTCTCCCTTCTAGCATTCTTATGAAATGATTAATTACTGAGTTTTAAGAGAAATCAGTGTAAGGTAGCTAAAAAATGATGTGTGGGCTGAGCATGAAGTCACAACATTTAATCCCTGCACTTAAGGGGTAGATTGAGGAGGATCTCTGAGTTCGGGGTCAACCTGGTATACAGAGTGGGTTTCAGTCAAGTCAAGGCTACACAGAGAAACCCTGTGTGAAAAACAAATTAGAGACAGAAAGGAAGGAAGGAAGAAAGGAAGGAAGGAAGGAAGGAAGGAAGGAAGGAAGGAAGGAAGGAAGGAAGAAGGTGAGTTTTCATGAACAGTCTAAAAGTGGGTGATACATAAGTTGTTCCTGGGTAATAGATTCATGGGTTGTGAGAAAACCATCTGGAGAAAGCCAAGAGTTCAAACACGTTTGTCCATATGGACCCTCTTGCTAGTTTTTGAATCTTCAAGTTCTTTTTTAAGATGAAATTTTGGCAATGGAGGAATACCAAATTAATGATAACATAAGCTCCATATGTTCAGAATGAGCCTGATGCCAGCAGCCTGGATGTGACTCTTCACATACAAGGGTATAGCTTTCCAGTCTTCTGAAGTATGTGATTCATGTGGAGCAGCTGTGCCCACAGACTCAAGTCTGTGAAAAAGCTAAGCACAACCACAAAGGATCTCTGGATCTCTCCCATCCCACGAGAAACACACAGATCCCCAGGAATTTTCCCAATGTGCAAATCTGTGAACATTGCAGCCAAGGAAGACGCAGCCTAGCTAGGATGAATCTATGAATCAAGTCTTGTTAACTGCAGTCAGAGCCAGACACAAGCACACAGTATGATGGAGCCACAAAGAGTCTGAAAGCACCTATGGCTCCATTTGACTCATCCCACTGCTGAGCCTAACTCTGGACTCCCCATTACCCAGTCCCCAAGTAGAATCAATCTGTTCTCAGTAGTTACAAAAGAGTCAGACCCTATCCTTCCCCTCCTCCTTACTGGAATTTCAGAATAACACTATTAAAATCTCCCAAACTCATGAGACATTTATTCTAGTTGGACACTAAATCATTCTCACCATACAACAGGGCTAATCTTCTCTGTCAGCCCACACATACCTTGTTAGGACAGAATTCACTCCCTAGTGAGGAGGGAGAAAACATCGTTAATAACATGTTCTTGCATATTCTGGTCATACTTTCAATGGCCACAGAGACAAAGTCAAAAGAGAATGAAGCTAGCTACTCCCCCCCCACTCCAGATCTCCAAGATATGATGTTATATGATACTTGAATGACATATAACCAAACAGATTA